TCCAATTGGTTCATTCATCCCCCTTTCGCTCCCCTGTAACTATTTCCCAGGTCGTTGCTGTAAATGAGAATGTGTTCTCAGTCGACTTACCTGGTAAAATAAGGGTAAAATAAATACAATAAAATAGGCTACTACATGATACTCAAATTTTCCCTATATAAATTCAATTATGTTTATCCCCGTTTGCTTCTGTTTAAGAACGTTTTTCAGGGCCTCTCGAGTGGCGCAGCAGTCTAAGGCACTGCATCGCAGTGCTTGAGGCGTCACTACAGATCTGGGTTCGATCCCGGGCTGTGTCGCAGCCTGCTGCGACCGGGAGACCCATGAGGCGATGCACAATTGGCCCAGCGTCGTCTGGGTTAGGGGAGGGTTTGGCCGGCCGGGATGTCCTTGTCCCATTGCGCTCTAGTGACTCCTGTGGCGGGCCGGGTGCATGCACACTGACACGGTCGGCAGTTTCCTCCGACACATTGGTGCGGCTGGCTGCCAGGTTAAGCGAGCAGTGTGTCAAGAAGCATTGCGGCTTGGCAGGGTCGTGTTTCGGAGGACGCATGGCTCTCGACCTTCACCTCTCCCAAGTCCGTACGGGAGTTGCAGCGATGGGACAAGACTGTAACTACCAATTGGATATCATGAAAATTGGGGAGAAAAATAAAAACATTTTCAACAGAATAGGCGGAATTAATACACCCCTGATCACATGCAAATACAGTTCACTTTCATAGCAGCAAAATACAAACAGCATGATCACTTTGATCGTTGTAGCAATAATTCCTTCTTGCATCTACATGCTCTCACCTTTTCCCTTCACTTTTGGACTTCAGTGCACAACACATCAGCTGTCTATGATCAGGCAGAAAAACCGTTCCAAGCCAAACCTTCATATCATAAACGCTAACCGCTACACACAGCCTACATCGCTGTCACCATTATTAGCTAACGTCATAGTCAACATAGCTACTAGAACTAACACGTTAGTAAACCTGCTACAATCATGCAGTACAGTGTACAGTCAGCAAGCAGTTTAGCAGTTATACCGGCGGGCCCCGGTGACAATAAATTAATAAAATCAAAACCTTACCTTGACTTGGAAGAGTTCCTGTGTTGGATAGCCATAGCCAGCTAGGTAACATAGCATCCCTTTCTGTTTGAGCTGGGTGTTTGAGTAGGCTAAACTAGCTAGCTGCATTCGCTAGCTTAGTGAAAGTGAAAATAAATATACAACGAAATATAGAGGTCTCTCTCTCTCTCGCTTCTCCTTCATTTTTGAAGAAATTCATTTGTTCAAAATTGTTCAACTATTGTATTTTTTTCTCTTTAAGTCAACTACTCACCACATTGTATGCACTGCAGTGTTAGCTAGCTGTAGCTTATGCTTTCAGTACTAGATTCATTCTCCGATCCTTTGATTGGGTGGACAACATGTCAGTTCATGCTGCAAGACCTATGACAGGTTTGAGAATGTCCTCTGGAAGTTGTCATAATTACTGTCTAAGTCTATGGAAGCGGGTGAGAACCATGAGCCTCCTAGGTTTTGTATTGAAGTCAATGTACCCAGAGGAGGATGGAAACTAGCTGTGTTCCGGCTACACCATGGTGCTACCATACAGAGTGCTGTTGAGGTTACTGTAGGCCTTAATTGCAAAACAGTATGTTTTAATCAATTATTTGGTGGCGTGAATATATTTGGTGTAGTTTTATCTAAAAATTATCGCTTTTTTAATGTTTCACTGTTTTTATTTTTATGAAATTCACTGAGGAGCCTCCACTGAACTCTATATTCATCTAGGGGCCCTTTTCAGCATGAGGATTAGTATGACAAAATAATTCAAGCAAACTGTGGTCAAGGACAAGGTGGAGTTGAAATTAGCATCTGAAAATAGTCAATGCCACACTAAATAATGGGTTCTAAACTGAAGAGACAGTCGAGGAGGAACAGGTAAACTAAAATTGGGATGGGGTGGATGCAATCAACACTCACTGTTCCTCCCAATCTCTCACGTTTACCATTCCCTGAGTGTAAACAGACCCTGCACAGAGAATAAACTGAGATTTATTGGGTTTACTTTTGATATGAGGGATAATATTTAGAGAAGGAAACCAATGAGCTAGGTGTGCCTCTGTGGGAATGGGCTCTATTTGGCCAGAGATTTGAGTTTTAATTGCATGCTCCAGTCTGCATACAGATTGAGACTGACATATACATGTACAATTGAGTGATATTTGAGGAGAGCCAGGTATAGACCAACATTGGGTAATGTAGGTAGGACTACATTATAATGGGTAATGTAGTTAGATAATGTAGGTCTACATCAAGCTTTTACAGCATTGAAATTGTATAGCTACACTACCGGTTAAAAGTTTTAGAACACCCACTCATTCAAGGGTTTTTCTTTATTTTTACTATTTTCTACATTGTAGAATAATAGTGAAGACATCAAAACTATGAAATAACACATATGGAATCATGAGGTAACCAAAAACAGTGTTAAACAAATCAAAATATATTTTATATTTGAGATTCTTCAAATAGCCACCCTTTGCCTTGATGACAGCTTTGCACACTCTTGGCATTCTCTCAACCAGCTTCACCTGGAATGCTTTTCCAACCGTCTTGAAGGAGTTCCCACATATGCTGAGCACTTTTTTGTTGCTTTTCCTTCACTCTGCGGTCAAACTCATCCCATACCATCTCATTTTAGTTGAGGTCGGGAGATTGTGGAGGCCAGGTCATCTGATGCAGCACTCCATCACTCTCCTTCTTGATAAAATAGCCCTTACTCAGCCTGGAGGTGTGTTGGGTCATTGCCCTGTCCCACTAAGCCCAAACCAGATGGGATGGCATATTGTTGCAGAATGCTGTGGTAGCCATGCTGGTTAAGTGTGCCTTGAATTCTAAATGAATCACAGACAGTGTCACCAGCAAAGCACCCCCACACCATAACATCTCCTCCTCCATACTTTACGGTGGGAAATACACATGCGGAGATCATCTGTTCACCCACACCGCGTCTCACAAAGACACGGCGGTTGGAACCAAAAATCTCAAATTTGGACTCCAGACCAAAGGACAAATTTCCACCGGTCTAATGTCCATTGCTCGTGTTTCTTGGCCCAAGCAAGTCTCTTCTTCTTATTGGTGTCCTATAGTAGTGGTTTATTTGCAGCAATTCGACCATGAAGGCCTGATTCACACAGTCTCCTCTGAACAGTTGATGTTGAGATGTGTATGTTACTTGAACTCTGTGAAACATTTATTTGGGCTGCAATTTCTGAGGCTGGTAACTCTGATGAACTTATCCTCTGCAGCAGAGGTAACTCTGGGTCTTCCATTCCTGTGGTGGTCCTCATGAGAGCCAGTTTCATCATAGCGCTTGATGGTTTTTGCGACTGCACTTGTAGAAACTTTCAAAGTTCTTGAAATGTTACGTATTGACTGACCTTCATGTCTTAAAGTAATGATGGACTGTCGTTTCTCTTTGCTTATTTGAGCTGTTCTTGCCATAATATGGACTATATTCTGTATACCCCCCCACCTTGTCACAACACAACTGATTGGCTCAAACGCATTAAGGAAAGAAATTCCACAAATTAACTTTTAAGAAGGCACACCTGTTAATTGAAATGCACTACCTCGTGAAGCTGGTTGAGAGAATGCCAAGAGTGTGCAAAGCTGTCATCAAGGCAAAGGGTGGCTATTTGAAGAATCTCAAATATAAAATATATTTTGATTTAGTTACTACATGATTCCATATGTGTTATTTCATAGTTTTGATGTCTTCACTATTATTCTACAATGTAGAAAATAGTAAAAATAAAGAAAAACCCTTGAATGAGTAGGTGTTCTAAAACCTTTGACCGGTAGTTTATGTTAAACATAGTCAACAAATCATACAACAATTATAAGGCTATCCGTTATTTGTTCATTTCCATGCATGATTGCTCATGTACAGTGTCAAAGACAGTTTTCTGAGACATTACTTCACACTAGGTGTGTATAATTATTGTGCGTAGGCGTAAACCAGTGATGTGTGTCTCGCTAGCATGTATTGGTTTTACTGAGTAGGGACAAAGAGCATTACCACTAAGACAATCTCAGCAATGTAATGCAAGTAATACATGTACTCTACCAAAGTTGCTTGTCTATCTCTCCTCCTCTCCTCCTCTCGCTCGGTTTATTCCTCTCCTCCATTCCGTGTCGACCCGCTCTCTACCCTCCCGTCATGCATGTGTGAACGTGGAGTTGTGATGGTGCGAATGCTGCCAGTCACTCTGATAAACTGTATTCATTAACAGTCCATCTCCATGTGCATCCATGTGTACACAGAATACATCAGTTTAATCTACTCTGACCTTAGAGTGCATCTTCTATTTATCCATCTCCTTTCATTAATTTACAAATGAATTGAACCTCACATATGATATTCAATAAGTGGATAACAATTCTGATCAGATTAGTAATGGAATAATACATGTATTGCATTGTTGTACATAGCAAAAGTGCCTATGTTAATTCAATTCAAATAGTGTTAAATTAAACACTCAAAAAGTGTCTGCCCCAGTTCAAGATGGCTGCAGTGGTTTCCCTGCCCAATCAACATGAAGACTGATTTTTGCTCTGGGCAACAAAGGACAGAAGATATGCGGTTCAGCGCCTAGCAAGCGCTGCTGAAAATGTATTCTGTTGGTTATGGTGAAAAAGATCTGCACCAAGCTGGAAGCCATCCACAGGCGAGCAGTGATCTGGCCAATCACTGTCAACTCACCATCTTGAGGACGTTCCAGGTCAGGAGTTGAAATGGCCAGTGAGAGGTTGACCTGGCTGATGACGCCTGTGGATCAGCAATCCCACATCGATTGTATCAGGTACTCTATATTAGTAGAATAGTACAGTATACTGACCTATTCAATACCTTCTCTACTTTTGCCTCTAAATAGAAACTATTGGGACAACATACTGGAACTTGAGCGATAAACAGTATTTTGAACAGTGCAATAGCTCACGTCTGGCATTGACCATCATTATCTGGACATGAGCGTAAAACAGACAGTGATGGCGGAGAGAAGGAGAGGGCTGCTCAAACAGATCACCAGCAGTCCCTGTCATGCTACAGCCAGTCAATATTAGCTCAGCTGTTGTAGGTTTCAGCTCTTTAACGCCACTGAATAACTGAATACAAAGCATCCAAATGCAAAGCGTGGTTGCTTCCCTGACTGACTGGCATCTACCAGTAGAAGCTGAGAGAAAATGGTTTAAGTCTAAATCTCTGCATTTATAGCGGCACAACCTTGAGTCTTAAATTCAGGTGGAATCATTGAAAAGGCTCATTTCTGGTTAGTCAATGTTAGTCAGGGTTAAATCCATAGGCCTACTCCCCACAAGAGTGGGGACATTCAAAGCTGCACATGCTTGCATGACCAAGCAGTGGCAGCGAAAAAGTAGAAATAGAGAATAAGATAAGATGGTAAGAGGTAGAGAAAGAGGGAGAGATAGAGGAATAGAGACATAGATAGGATAGAGGTAGAGAGACAGAGAGATAGCGAGAGGTACAGGTTGGGGTCCGAGCAAAGTTACAAGAGTAGGGGTGTGGTTCTACTTACATTTGCAGCCATTGTCCCACAAATATCCCGGCAGACAATCTCGACACTTAGCCCCTGTAGTTCCCTCCTTACATTTACAAAATCCTGTGCCATTACAGCGAACACTCTCTGAGCCAGAGGGATTACAACTACAGTCTGTAGAAACAAGACACACACATGCTGGAGAACAGGGTGGTGCTTTGGCTTCTTACAGCAGCTACAACCTTTTACTACCATAGACAGGCTCATTGAGTAACAGAGATCTAATTTCTAAGTAACATATTACTTAGCTATCACTTACAGAAGAAATGCTACCATTTCAAAAGTAATGACGTGAAATGAAGACAAAGAGTGATTGAAGGAAATTAGACATTAAGCACTGTATGGATCATTTAAAGTGATTCATTATTTTCTAGAACATTTTATGCATTTTAACAAGTCACATTTATAGTGCAATAAGCAAAACCTTATTTACCTAAATATGGTAGCCATATTTGAAAAATGACATGACATTAAGACTACACATTTTCTCTCTGACATTAACCCGTTTCTGACATGAAAGTTAGAGGGAAACCATGATGACAGAGGAGGTGAGACAGAGACAGTGGAGACATACAAAGAGATGCCATAGGAATGACATGATAAATGTACAAGAAAGGATTTACATAGCTTGGACTTGTCCAGTATGATTCAGAGAATGTTTGAAATGTGAGGAAAGTGGCACGGTAACATTGAAATAGGCATTGTTGTACTGTAATACATGTTGTCTCCAGACATTTCAAGTCATTCCAAAACTATGAAATTCCAATTAGTCATTTGGTCCACACTTACATTTAATGGGAATACAACCCTGCTGAGAAAACTACAGGGCAAATATGTTTATTGTAAACTGCTTATTTGATTAATACTATAAGTGGATATTGTCTTGGTAGAATAATGTGTGAACAAAACAACCATCATTAGCCACACCAAAAATGGCCATATCTTTACCATTATCAACAGTTAAAGCTCTTTCCAAATCCTGCTTGTGAACATAGAAGCCTTACAAGGCTCTCCTCTACCCCATCTGTATGGTAACCTTATAGCTCTGCAGCATTTGGAAGATATATTTGTAAGCATTTCACTACACCCGCAGTAACATCTGCTAAACATGTATGTGAACAATAAAGTTTGATTTGATATTTGAGTACTGGTTTGACTGTGATAACACTTCTACTGATGTGTTATGATGGGTAAGGGTAAAGGATTATACACAAGGCAACACCTCGCTGACTCTGGGTGCGTCCAAAATGCCACTATATTCCCTATAGGTATGATGTTAAAAGTAGTGCACTATATAGGGAATAGGGTACCATTTCAGGTGCACTATATAAGGAATAGGGTGCTATTTCAGATGCAGCCTATAAAGGTTTCTACTGGAATTGCATTGCTATTTCTGTGCGGAGCCTAGCACTTCCACAGTGACATATGCTGTGATTGCCATCGCCGTCCTGCTAATCTGACTTCGCTCCGACACATCTGGGTTTACGCGTGGAGTGTGCGAGTTCGTTAGACTCTACTTCAGGCTGGAAGAGACACCTGGATATGGGGTGGAGGGTGGGTTTAATATTTTCAGTTTTCCACAGCCAGATCAGAACGTCAGAGGGCGAGGGGCAACAGATGTTTCCTGGGTGCTATGTGCATGTGTAGGGTGCAGAGTCACTACGCACTACACACTAACACGGATGGAAAGGCATAGTTTCATATAATTTTTTATAGGGTCCTGTGTTTTGCACAATCATGTGACATGCCTGGATTTTAACCTTTATTTAAAGCTTTTTCATCAAACTGCACCCTTTGTTTTACGATTCAGATGGTTAAGCACCATCCTCAGACAACTGCTTTCATTTTTGGTGTAATTCTCATTTTTGGATAAGGCTTAAAATACAGGATAAAATGTTGCTATGTCACATGATTGCGCAAAACACAGGGACCTACTTATAGAATATGCATGAAGGTAAACATGCTTAGAACAGATTCCTATGTGTTTGTGGTTATTTGTGACACATACACTATATATACAAAAGTATGTGGACACTCCTTCAAATGAGTGGATTCGGCTATTTCAGCCACACCCGTTGCTGACAGGTGTATAAAATCGAGCACACAGCCATGCAATCTCTATAGACAAACATTGGCAGTCAAATGGCCTTACTGAAGAGCTCAGTGACTTTCAACATGGTACCGTCATAGGATGCCACCTTTCCAACGAGTCAGTTCATCAAATTTCAGCCCAGCTACAGTTGCCCGATCAACTGTAAGTGCTGTTATTGTGAAGTGGAAACGTCTAGGAGCAACAACGGCCACACAAGCTCACAGAACGGGACCGCCGAATGCTGAAGCGCGTAGTGCGTAAAAAATAGTCTGTCCTCGGTTGCAACACTCACTACCGATTTCCAAACTGTCTCTGGAAGCAACGTCAGCACAATAACTGTTCGTCGGGAGCTTCATGAAATGGGTTTCCATGGCCGAGCAGCCGCACACAAGCCTAAGATCACTATGCGCAATGGCAAGCGTCGGCTGGAGTGGTGTAAAGCTCGCTGCCATTGGACACTGGAGCAGTGGAAACGCGTTTTCTGGAGTGATGAATCACACTTCACCATCTGGCAGTCCGACGGACTAATCTGGGTTTGGTGGATGCCAGGAGAACGCTACCTGCCCCAATGTATAGTGCCAACTGTAATGTTTGGTGGAGGAGGAATAATGGTCTGGGGCTGTTTTTCATGGTTCGGGCTAGGCCCCTTAGTTCCAGTGAAGGGAAATCTTAACGCTACAGCACACATGACATTCTAGATGATTCTGTGCTTCCAAGTTTGTGGCAACAGTTTGGGGAAGGCCCTTTCCTGTTTCAACATGACAATGCTCCTGTGCACAAAGCGAGGTCCTTACAGAAATGGTTTGTCGATGTCGGTGTGGAAGAACTTGACTTGCCTGCACAGAGCCCTGACCTCAACCCCATTGAACACCTTTGGGATAAATTGGAACGCCGACTGCGAGCCAGGCCTAATCGCCCAACATCAGTGCCCGACCTCACTAATGGTCTTGTGGCTTAATGGAAGCAAGTCCCCGCAGCAATGTTCCAACATCTAGTGGAAAGCCTTCCCAGAAGAGTGGAGGCTGTTATAGCAGCAAAGGGGGGACCAACTCCATATTAATGCCCATGATTTTGGAATGAGATATTCGACAAGCAGGTGTCCACATACTTTTGGTCATGTAGTGTACATAACCAGCATTTGGAATTATCGTTTATTTTAAATGAACTGAAATAAAAAACCTCTCATGACATAGACAGCTTCAAAACCATCCTGAGTGTCAAAATATAATCTGGTAAAATTCATATCAGTTTAGAAAAAGTACAGTATGTCCATAGCAGTACACATTTATGAGTAATACTCTTTAATGTAAAACCTTGTGATTGTGATGACTAACAATTAGTTTAATACATAAGCCCTGTGGAGAAGGAAGCGTGTGATGTCACAATCATATGGACAGAAGCAAGTGAGGAACGACAGGACCCAGACAGCAACAGGAAAAGAGACAGTGAAAAACATGAGGCAGGAGTTTGGAGGTTTGACGCACTAAGGTGAAAGGTGAAAGGTGAAGGATACGGTGGTTGAAACGGGGTGGGGTCACGTAGAGGGTCAGCTGGTATAAGCAGTGCTGATGATGACAGACAGTGGTGAGGGAACTGACCTATGCACACATTCTCATCTTCCAGCTCTGCAGAGGCATTTCGGAAGTAGCCCTGCTTGCAATCCTGGCAGTGCTGGCCCCTAGTGTTGTGCTTACAGCTCACGCAAATGACGGAGTTTAGCAGCTCGATGTAGCTGCAGCGGTTGGAGTGGCCGAAGCATTCGCAGTCTTGCAAAGAAGGAAGGATGGAGAGAGACCAAGAGACCATGTTGAGGTGGGGGTTGGGTTGTGTTGCGCAGGGCGTGTGCTACGGCGGGCGGCGGTGGTGGTAGTAGCAAGGTAGAGCGAGGAGGCACCATCACATGCGAGGTTAGGATGGAGAGATTGGGGTTGACATTGAGACAATGTTAGGTTAGGAGGAGGTGGAGAGGGGTACAGTATGACAAGTCAGGCATGGACGGATGCAGCCAGTGGTATTAGACGTCAGTTCACCCTGGGGCTATGAGAAAGCATGTTGTTAGAGGGAGAGAGTAAGAGACGTTCACTTCAAGCACACCACAATGGAAGGATGAGTTGGATTCTGATTCTGGAATGGCACAAAAACAGGGTTTCATGGGGACTAGACCACACAGTACAAGACAGGTCAAATGAGATGAGTTGAGTTGGGATGTAATTTCAATCTGGGCAAGGCATAGGTGCGCAACTCCACACTGTTTGAAATGTACATCTAGATTAGTTCAGGCTTTATTTGTCCTACTGTGTGTTCAATTTGAGAATAGGAGGAAGAGAGGAGCAGGTACCTTTGTAGCAACAGTGTAATCCACAGGCCATTGTTATTACATTCACACAGAACTGTAATCCTAAACCACAGAGCATGCAACTATGACTTTTAAAGAAAAACATGAATGGAAATACATAACTGTCCTTTCTATAGAGAACCAGATGGGTGTTTTGAGGAAGAGTTGCTACATGTCCTACCCACCACTCCGCCACCTGACACCCATCCCAGCCAATAAATACCTTGCAACAAAAAAGTACTTTGCATGAGAAGCAGGTGAAAGTATGCAGAGATGTGACAAGGGGAGCATATTGTTGTGTGTTGTGTAGTGTTGTGTAGTGTTGTGTAGTATTGTGTAGTATTAGCTCCCAGATTGGGAGTCAGGCTACGCCCTGTGCCTACTGCTTAGTCCCACGAAGTCGGGCAGGCATGCCAATCAAAGGCGGTCACGTCCAAGTGGAGCCTTGTGTGTGACACCGGCCCAGATCAGCCTTGGAGCTGGGTTCAATCTGTCTTGTGGAGCGACTGCTGACACCAACTTTCACGCTGGGTCAGATGGGTTTCTTAAGCCTTTGCAGACAGGCAGCTGGACAGACAGCCCTCTCTGAGTTACAGGCAGTTGGACAGACAGCCCTCTCTGAGTTACAGGGGCTTTGGGAAGGGATTGTGGTTATTAAGTTCTGGATTGAGGTCTTTCCGTCGGTCACCACAAAAGACATTGAGCCTTGGAAATGAAAGACAGTGGCCTAGCTAGCCTATTTAACTATATTCAAGGAAAATAATATGTTCTGGTCTATTTGCTGCCAAGTTCCACAGTTAATAGAAGTTCTCATAACATTTATGCTATCTTCTCTGAAACCTACTCTTAGAAGACCAATACTCTCCCTGATTGAAAAATAGGGTTCATCATGTCTAAAGTAAGGTCTCCGAAACATACTCTAGAATATTTATGTGAGGCATTACAATGATATGTTGCAGACTATCCTTATTATTGTGTACTTTGAATAATTATATTCAATAGCACTTATAATGATTACACTAGATGTAGATAGACACAGGATCATGCACCCTTTACAGAAATATATACTATATGTGTACCACATATCCACACCGCAAAGCAAACCCCATTCTTTATGGATACAGAGTGCACATTGGTCATAGTTCATGGGGATAGTTGTGGATTAGTACTACAATGTACTACAGGGGTAGGGTTGGGTTAGGTGCCTAAAGTAGCACATACACAGGTCATTCTAGATTCATACAGTGGGGACATAGCTTTTGACAACTGCTGACGCAGGGGGGGCACTGTATGAATCTGAGAACCTCCTACCTCGCTTGCTGTTTGCAACTTGAACTGAAGGGACAGTTGACAAAGCAACTTGAGGAGCTACTGGACAAATTAAAAAAAGAAGAAAAACAAACAAATAAATAAACAAAAGCATGATATATTTTGTTAAACATTAAATAATAGAATGTTCAGAAGTGTTAAAGAACTGAGAATCATACACATTCATATTTTTTCACTATAGTACAAAAAAGTTTGAAATAAACATACAGTAAAGATGGTCTGACATGAATTATTAAATGAACAATGAGATAGGTGATCCTATATATTTTGTGTTATATTCTGAGACTGTAAATATTAGAGGAATTAATTCCCACACAATGTCCACCATCATTGCACTGTAAGAAGAAGAAGTTCTAGAATAACATTCTAGGACTGTGGCATAAAGTGTGGTTGCCCTGACAATTACAGATGCAGTCTGTTGAATCATGTTGCATGGAATCTACACAAGTTTACCATTTGGAAGAGACAAGGTTATCAGTCATATAGAAAAAGGAGTAGAGGAGGGTACAATCTTATTTTTATGAATGATTCCTTCTGAACAATCCTGACTGTCATTAGTATCCAAACCCGGTGAGACAGTCCAACAACACCATGCTATCGTCGTCACAACGTAGATGAACAGTAGTGTTCTGTTCTGGTATTACATTCTCCCAACGTACCAACACCACACTTCCTTTAGGAAAGCCCAGTGGGATAATTTCCCATAGGTCTGTTCATCGGGGCATAGGGTCGAGGCTCACTGGCGCGGCACACAACAATCCCACAATCCTACTGCTGCCCGCATCTCAGATAACAAGCAAACAAACTGGAGGTGAAACAATGGTCAACCCTGACTGAGCCCCTCTCACATGCTCTCCCATGTTCTTGCCTGACCAACCCTCTTCCTGGAGATCTACCGTCCTGTGGGTTTTCAGTCCAACCCTAATTTAACACCCCTGATTCTACTTATTAGATGCTCAACAAGACCTTAACTAGCTGAATCAGATATGCTAAATTAGGGTTGGACTGAAAACCTACAGGACAGTAGATCTCCAGGAAGAGGGTTGGGCAGCCCTGATATAAACACTATACCCTCTATATCAGGGGTACTCAACTCTTACCCTACGAGGTCTGGAGCCTGCTGGTTTTCTGTTCTACCTGATAATGAATTGCACACACCTGGTGTCCCAGGTCTAAATCAGTCCCTGATTAGAGGGAGAGAATGAAAAAAAGCAGTGAAACTGGCTTCGAGGTCCAGAGTTGAGTTTGAGGGCTCTACATCTCTACATCCGCTTGGGTAGAGCTCTGTATGGAAATACATGTGCAGTTTGTTTGCAAAACGGTCGCCACAGCCACAGCACATCAGCACAATGGATCAACTTGAGATTGCCTGAAATCAATCTACATAAACCGCTCTGTGAAATCGCCCTATTTTCTTCCGCCGAGCCCAGATAGGATTCTAGAATCCCTAGAAGCGCCACACCTAATTAAAACGAAGGGGATAATCTAAGGATATTGAAACGGGATGGAAGAGAGAGAGAGAGAAAGACTGAACGCCTATCGTCGTCCTGCTCTTGTGGAGAGATTCCGCATCTTGGGGCTCAAATAGTGGAGGGGAGGAGGATATTGTAACAGAGTCACAGCATGTTGCAGCTCATGCATGTCTGCCGAGTATGCCAGGAATCAAACTTGCCCATTTCAAAGGTGCCAAAGCCCTCTTTCACGAAAAAGAGATACAGAGAATACATTTTTTTTGTCAATTTTTTTTGTATCTTTTTTTTTCAAGTTTATAAAATCTAGATCACTAAGGCTTTTGACACAGATCAACAGAAAAACTCCCTCCTGGTGGATCTGGTCTCAACTGTCACGGCGAGTACAGTCACTGTTTAACTACTGTATATATGAGTAGATCTGTAAAGAGATATGTTTAATCTTAGTTGGAGGTATAGCCTACCTTGGTTTCGGTTAGCAACACCTAGGGATGAGACATTCTGCCGAACTGCATGCATTGGGAGAAACCATAAATGATTAGGTGCACTGGCTATAGTGGACATCAGATGCACAGTAGAGGTTCTACTAGGAGTTGACTGGTGGGACATATGTAGACAACTAGACATACATCTTAGGCATGGCTTTACTCAGAACAACTCATAACAACAGAATGACCGTCAAGCCTATACGGGGACAAGCAGTAGATGCATCCCAACACCAGACGTTGTCCCAGGGACATTGTATGTAATTGTGCAGTTTCACGGCTCACTTGAGTGTGTGTATCGATGGCAATGATGAATAAACATAACATAAAGAAAAACAAACAACAACAACTTGAGATTCTCTCTGATATGTAGTGGGATCATAACTTATGCAAACATGGTGGTTGGCTTAACTATGTACACTCTTAGAAAAAAGGGTTCCAAAAGGTTATCTGAGGAGGGATAGGATTCTACCAGGAACCGTTTTCATCTGAAGAACACTTTTTTTTGAAGACATGGGTTCTTTGTAAGGCAAAGAGTTCTACCTAGAACCTTTTTCATCCTAAGAACTGTTTTTGGAAGAAAGGGTTCTTTAATGATTGTTTGGAAAGCAAGAAGGATTTTTAGAAGGCAAGAAGGATTCTTTGGAAGGCAAGAAGGATTCTACATAGAACCCTTCTGAATCTGAATAAGCTTTTTTATTGTATTTAAAAAAAACTATTAAATAGTGCCTCAGCATTAGTGTTTATCTCAGTGTTTAAACTTTAACATCAGGAGTTTGAGTAATATAATAAGATTACAAAGATAGGTGTGAGAATATTTGTGCATGTATCTTGTATTCCCTTAATCATTTTACATATACAGTCCCGTCAGAAAGTATTCATACCCCGTGACTTATTCCACATTTTGTTGTGTTACAGTCTGAATTCAAAATGGATGAAATATATATTTTTTCTCACTCATCTATACATAATGATGAAGTTCAAATATGTTTTCAGAAATCTTTACACATGTATTGAAAATAAAATACAGAAAAATCTCATTTTCATAAGTATTGACACCCCTGAGTGTCAGAATCACCTTTGGCAGTGATTACAGCTGTGAGTCTTTCTGGGTAAATCTCTAAAAGCTTTGCACACCTGGATTGTACAATATTTGCACATGATTTTACTTAAAATTCTTCGAACTCTGTCAAGTTGGTTGTTGATCATTGCTAGACAGCCATTTTCAAGTCTTGCCATAGATTTTCAAACCGTTTTAAGTAAAAACTGTAACTAGGCCACTCAGGAACATTCAATGTCGTCTTGGTAAGCAACTCCAGTGTATATTTGGCCTTGTGTTTAGGTTAATGTCCTGTTGAAAGGTGAATTTGTCTCCCAGTGTCTGTTGGAAAGCAGACTGAACCAGGTTTTCCTCTAGGATTTTGCCTGTGCTTAGCTCTATTCCGTTTATTTTTATCCAAAAAAACTCCCTAGTCGTTGCCGATGACAAGCATACCCATAACATGATGCAGCCACCACCATGCTTGAAAATATGAAGAGTGGTACTCAGTGATGTGTTGTGTTGGATTTGCCCTAAAAATAAAGCTTTGCATTCAGGACAATTTCTTTGCCACATTTTTTAAAGTTTTACTTTAGTGCATTATTGCAAACAGGATGCATTTTTTGTTATATTTTTATTCTGTACAGGCTTCTTTCTTTTCACTCTTTCATTTAGGTTTGTATTGTGGAGTAACTACAATGTTGTTGATCCATCCTCAGTTTTCTCCTATCACAGCCATTAAACTGTGTAACTGTTTTAAAGTCACCGTTGGCCTCATGGTGAAATCCCTGAGCGGTTTCCTTCCTCTCCGGCAACTGAGTTAGGAAGGATGCCTGTATCTTTGTAGTGACTGGGTGTATTGATACACCATCCAAAGTGTTATTAATAGCTTCACCATGCTCAAAGGGATATTCAATGTCTGCAGCTTCACTGCTCTATTGAGGGACTTTATAGATCATTATATGTGTGGGGTACAGAGATGAGGTAGTCATTCAAAAATCATGTTAAACACTATTATTGCACACAGAGTCCATGCAACTTATTATGTGACTTGTTAAGCACATTTTTACTCCTGAACTTATTTAGGCTTGCCATAACAAAATGTTTGAATACTTATTAACTACACTTTCACATTATGGGGTATTGTGTGTAGGCAAGGCTGTAACACAACAAAATGTGGAAAAAGTCAAGGGGTGTGAATAATTTCTGAAGGCATTGTACACACAGCAAATTTGCCAGTGTTACCTAGTGTTGATTTTTCAATATAACATTTCTAGTGTTGATTCAGGAGTTAAATTAACTTAAACTAACTATCCAGTGAAAATCGAACTTTTAAAAGTTAATATCCTGTTAACTCATCCTCAAATAATGTTGTTGACTCATCCTATACTCATACTTGTGGCCAAAGCATAAGCTGAAGAAAAAACACTTCAAAAACTCCCCCTCAAACTTGTATCTCAAACAGACCATTTAAAAAATGCTTGCTATTTCGTCATAGAGGATGATGCCATCCTCCTGAGGAAGATGAGCTGGCCAATAAGCGGGCTACTGGCATTTATATTTTTTATGACCAGTATATGCCCACACCATTCTGTTGTTGGGGTACGCCCACACCATTCCAACACAGAACAGCTTCTTTTTAACATACTTTTCTGGAAGGAAAACTATTTAAATTCATATTGTAATTAATTATAGGTAATATTTAATATAAATCTGGAAACACTGGACAGTTACTTTAACACTCAGTGGCGTAAAATAACCTCAGTGTTGGTGTTAATAACCAGAGTTGAGTGTGAGTGTGTAATTTTTACTGTGTAGAGAAAAAACATAAAAAACCACGCCCATCATTATCCTATTTCCCAGCATGCTCCTTTTGCAGGTTAATTTTCTGAATTGTTTGTTTCAATATCTGTGTGTTTGCATGTACATTGATTGGTTGATTAATCTTATGCTACACAAAGATAAATAAAAACATTCTAAACTAAGTAGTTGGACTTATTGCACCCGTTACTGAGGTAGTCCCATTAATCAATCTTCCCTACAGTGGCAGTCATTCTGAATGCAGGTTGCTGGTGATTAAAAGTTCTAATTGTTGGATATCCTCACTCTGGCTGGATTCTAATAGGAATTACAAATCACTTTGCAAGACAGCATAATGTGACTTCCTGGCCTGATTTGGCCTGTAAACCAAGAGTTTCCTAACGCCACTGTGTTAGGGTATAACTAGGCCCTCAAAGAAAGATCTTATGATACATAATGTATTGTCATAAAGAGTTTAATTTTTAAGGGTAATAAGGCTGATGGAACTGTTCAGAGATTGTTCTAGGAAGAACCCATCAAAGATAAAAGGGTTCTTGGTAGAACAACAGGGGGTTTTATGTAGAACCCTACATCAAGGGTTCTAGGTAGAACCCTCTGCAAAACGTTCTACCTTTCACCAAAAAGGGTTCCCCTATGGGGACAAACCAAATAACCCTATACGGTTCTACTTAGCACCTTTTTTTCTAAGAGTGTATAGATAGAAAACAAAGTTGTCGCAGGCATTTTGTTTAATTCATCAAATTGACTATTCAATCAATATCTAATTACAGTGTATTTCTGGTTGAGGAATAACGATTAATACATAATGTGGTGTGTCAGGGGTTGGAATGACTGATAGTTGTGGTGTACTGTAACCTAATTACATACAATTCTGTATTTCCGTGGCGGGGGAAATACTGGCGGTGTTTGGTGGTTGTGGTTGGTGGGTTGGTTCAGGGATGGAGTGGTCTTGAGTCAAGCAGAGACAGAAGGAAAGGCTTGTCATGTATTCTAGTATTGTAATCCCCCCACTAAAGCATCACCAAGTCTCTGTGTCGCAGTATCGCCGACTTCAGTGTGGTCATCTGATCATGTGATCATTGGCCGGTGATTAGTGTCCAGTGGTGTCACAGCAAGCAACTTAACTACCGTGCCATTAGATAGTGAGCATTACCGTGTGGTGTGTATAATTGTTTGTAATATGTTCGGTTTTGTTAAGGATATGGGTAATTAATGGGTTTGGTTATGCATGCACTCAGGCACACAGACATACAGTCATTATATACTGTAGTGTTTGACTGATTGAGTTACTATCCAAACCCTATCCATGACAGCTCCATAACTGATAAAGTACATAGTATGTCATGTCAGTCCTAAATACATTGTTCAGCAATATTGGCCAGAATCCAATATTGGCCAGCAAGTTATTTATTGTAAGTATTTAGGGGTTTTGGATTGTTTTCAAGAGAATATGTTCTGTTGAGATATTGATCAGTAACCGTGATGAGAAGTTCTGTTTTACAGGATAAGGAGAAAAAACTAACAAACAAAATAACAGGTAGAAAGGACACACTACTTCATTTTATATCAATAAAGGAATAATGTTTGTAAAATCCAGAACTCAGTGACAACACAAATACTTCCTTTATTGGAAAAAAAATACATGAAATTGACATGTGGTGTTGTCATATTAAAAAAAAATCTCATTGGCATCATAATTAGAGGAATTTGATTAGAGAAATTAGAGCATTATTTCGATCCAATAAGTATCACATCTGTTGTTCTATTAGTTATTAGGTGAGGGAGAATACAGGTAAGCCGTGCTTAATGAGAAGTGACGGATTATAATCAATGCTGCTGTCATAATGAAATGTAATCTCGTAGAGCCCAGAAGCTGTTTTTTTTATATTAATTTTGCTTTAATGGCTGCATTAGGGCAATTCTGGCTGGCTTAATCAACTTGAAATAGAATTGAGGAAAAGTCAATAAAGAATTAAATTACTTTCAAACACAATATGAAAAAGTGCAGCATTTTCTGTTTGCTGCTCTGTCCTCAAGGACATTTAGCTGTGTTCTGGATGGTTCTTTTTTATTTGAGAGGACATAGCTACATACACACGATTTCAGTTTGTTTTACCCCAACTTCATCCTAGGTGTGTCTACAGTACCAAAGCTGGGTAGTGTTTCATGTTGTGGTAGTTATGGGGTTGGTTCTGCTGGTGTAGAGACAGACAGACAGCATCTCGTGAGTGTTTCAATACCTACAGGTCTGAATGAACCATACAGACTTGGCCATCGTCAGTCAGTCAGTGAGTGTGTCCTTTCTGTGAGTCACACCCACAGACAGACAGACGGGCTATAATACAGACACTCCCCACTAAGAGAGAGAGCAGCCATTGGTGATGGTCTGACTAGGTGTGGGGTTGGGTTGGGGAGGAGCTAGCGAGGGTGTGATGTGTGAGTGGTGTATGTACAGCATATACAGTATGTATATGTATGAAGAACATGCATGCAGCATATGTATAGAGCATTGGCCATGCACAGGCAGGAGAAAACACTGAACACATTCAGCTCTCTAAGATTGCGGGGTTGGGGTAGGGGGAGGGAGGGGGTCCACTTGGTTCTATGCTAATTTCTGACATCAAATTTCTCTGAATTTTCATGATAAACTGGTTATTGTTTGGATCAAATTATCGGTTTACATTTACGTTAGTTTGACCTCAGTTGTGGTTACTGTTGTGGTTCAAAGTTGTGTTTCAAAGTTCATCGCCAACTAGCCGACTAGCCAATGTAGGGATACCATTGTAAATTCTGATCATGGCTACGTCCCAATACTTATAAACAGCTTCCTTTCCTTGTCTCCTTCCCTTCATGAATGCTGACACATAAAAGGACTGGGTAGGTCTGGTAGCCATATTGCTCTAACCTAGCTAGTCCTTTAGATATCTGCAGTCATGGAGATACAGCCAGGAATCAAAGAGAGGAAACCATTCAAGACTAATGAGATGCTGTCCATCTTAGCTGATTTGTGTCTATTGGTTTTTCCCCCATAGAGGGGGAGCTAGCTAGGGACTGCATCTCAGGAGAATTCCACATCAATCAATACGTTGATTGATAGGTGGATTGATGCGGAATGGGCTGGGGCTCTGAATGCACTTTGACTTGTTCAATACCTGTGTATGTCTGAAATGACACCCCCGATTCCCTATATAGTGCACTACTTTTGACCACGGCCCATAGAACTCTGGTCAAAAGTAATGCACTATAGAGGAAAGACGCAGCCTTGGTGTGTGTGTCTCCTGTTATTCCCCTGAGGTGCAGTCCCAGCTGGCTGCTGTAGTAACAACAGACTACATCTCTAGATGTCTCTCTCTGTGCTCCAGGGGCGACTGGCTGCAGCAGATAATATCCAGCGCTCATATTAAACTGACCTCCCTGACATTATTCCACCACTGAGGTCTGGGCACTTTCATAAACTCTATATGCCATTTATGTATAATGCATAGGGGCAAAAACATGTTTTGTATGCATGCTCAGGCGTCTGGCTGCTATCTAGGCTTATCTTGTTGAAGGTGATTTAGTCCACCTCCACACTGAGCATTCTAGACAATATGGCAGAGAGCTATTGCTTATTCCTTTAGGGAGGAAAACAACAGGGAATTAAACTAACCCTGGCATAATGAACATTTCCAAACCAATTATGACTGATCCTTCACTTAATGAATAATGGAGGATCTAAATCAGAAATGAACATTTAAAACCAAGTGGACTTTAGGGAGGGATATGATAAGACTTAGCAAAGCATCAAGCAGTTTCTGTGTTTTCTTTTCTGCTTTGGATTTACTTACTAACTGGACCAATGCTATTGGGGATACCTGCAAGAAGAAGACAAAACACAGTTGACATTGAGAGATTAGTCATGTACATTTCATTCTACTTTAACAAACTGTAAATTGCAGTTTAGGCCATTGTTTGTATTCATTTCAAAACATTGAATGTAATCTTTAAAACAGCAGATAAATATGAGCAAATATTACCCCCACGCATGCACATACACTCACACAAGATAACACAGAGACACACCAGACCAAATAAAAAACCAAAACACCTGCATTTGGACAAACTTTATCCCAACAGTGTCTTGAGCTGTAGTTGACCATAGACTTTAGTCTTATCATTATCCCAGTCTGTTGATACAACCGACCGACTGTCTGATGTGCCAGCCTCCGCTCTGAACAGATAACACAGTCAGACAGACACATCCCCATGGCGACCAGATCTTTCACACAGCAGACTATTTGCCCTGCATAGATCTCAGAGACTCACTGAGCTTTATAGACCAGCACGGACCCAGGCTGACAAACGTGACTGACTGAGTCTTAAAAGTCCTCATTCCATTTCACTCTAAAATCCCACAGTAGTAGAGAATCAATTGGTGGTGGATATTTGGATCATGTCGATGTCTTGTTATGGCGAGGTCCGCTGGGTTATTGGTGACGTGTATATTTAGCGTTTTGCTAATTTGTCAGTTTGCACTGTACTCCTCTCTGAGTGCCTCCCCCCATGAAGGCATTTGTCTGTCTGTCAGTGTCTGTCTGTCAGTGTCTGTCTGTCGCGTAAACAAACAGCAACAAACAAGCTGTAACAACAGGAAGGGGCGCCTTGCTGCGCTCTGCAAATGGAGGAAATAAATAAATAAAATCATAGATAAATAAATAAACAAGGTCTGGCTGGGTTCTCTCTCTCTCCATGTGTCTCCATCTCACATCTTCCCCCAAACACTGAGGAGATATGGAGACATCTGTGCTCTGTTGTCTTTTTTACCCCTCCATCAAATGGAGGCCTCTCAGTCGTTCAGTCAACAGCACTTGGTGTCCCAGGAGGATTACCTCATCATTCTCCTTCCCTCTACAAAGGACGTCTGCATAACATAATGTCTGTGTGTATGTGTGTATGTGATTGTGCCTGCTAGTGTGTGTATGTGTGTCTGCATGTGCACACACATGTGTTTGTGTGTTTCGTGTGCAAGCAAGGTCTGGCCAGCCATAAGCCATCGATCCACCTCACATCATCTAATCTCCCTCTCTCTCTCTCTGATCCCTGCTCGACAGGCATAGTTAGGAGCCAAATGTATGACCTATTGGAGAGGTGTGTGGGGAGTGGGGAGGCAGGAGGCAGATAGATAGATGGACACAGAACACTAGGAGCCTCTCGAGGCAGACTACCTGAGAGGAAAAGGACGCCAACTAGAGAAGGGCACAGCAAACGCACACACACATGCAGACACATGCACGCATGCACACACACACGCACACACATTACGCAATCATATTCAGCGAATCACAGCTGAAAAGAAAGAATGCTGTCTTCTGATACTTCTGAGGATGAGACGTCCTTCATAGAGAATAAAGAGGTGTTTCAAAGCCCAGTGTTAGCTCTAAATATTTGCCTATACACCAAATATTAAAAGGAATGTAATATTCAAACTATACAGTATATCTGTCCTTTTCATGGCATATAGGAATTACCTTAAGAAAACTTTGTACAACTGAGCCTAAGTGAATCGGGTAAGTAGGTATTAAAGTGCACAAAGAGTTTTGTCATGTTATGTTGCTAGTAGATGATGAGAAATGCAGATAGCCAGCTATCTAAATGCACCGGGCCCATCTAAAATGAACTGGCCCACTCACACAGATCTAGCATGGAGTTTGGGGATGGAATAAGTTAGCAAGCAAGCTACAACAACTCCATCAACAGTATACTGCACATTTAGCAGAAATAAATTGTAAAAAAAAAAAAGGGATTAATGTCATTGTTTATTTCAAGGTCTTTATTGTTGCTGAACTGCCTGAACTTCAATGGCCGATATAACTTGCAGGATATCATGGTTGCCAATGTTAGTGTTAGCCATTATACAGTGGGGGAAAAAAGTATTTAGTCAGCCACCAATTGTGCAAGTTCTCCCACTTAAAAAGATGAGAGAGGCCTGTAATTTTCATCATAGGTACACGTCAACTATGACAGACAAATTGAGATTATTTTTCTCCAGAAAATCACATTGTAGGATTTTTAATGAATTTATTTGCAAATTATGGTGGAAAATAAGTATTTGGTCAATAACAAAAGTTTCTCAATACTTTGTTATATACCCTTTGTTGGCAATGACACAGGTCAAACATTTTCTGTAAGTCTTCACAAGGTTTTCACACACTGTTGCTGGTATTTTGGCCCATTCCTCCATGCAGATCTCCTCTAGAGCAGTGATGTTTTGGGGCTGTCGCTGGGCAACACAGACTTTCAACTCCCTCCAAAGATTTTCTATGGGGTTGAGATCTGGAGACTGGCTAGGCCACTCCAGGACCTTGAAATGCTTCTTACGAAGCCACTCCTTCGTTGCCCGGGCGGTGTGTTTGGGATCATTGTCATGCTGAAAGACCCAGCCACGTTTCATCTTCAATGCCCTTGCATTCAAAATCTCATGATACATGGCCCCATTCATTCTTTCCTTTACACGGATCAGTCGTCCTGGTCCCTTTGCAGAAAAACAGCCCCAAGGCATGATGTTTCCACTCCCATGCTTCACAGTAGGTATGGTGTTCTTTGGATGCAACTCAGCATTCTTTGTCCTCCAAACACGACGAGTTGAGTTTTTACCAAAAAGTTATATTTTGGTTTCATCTGACCATATGACATTCTCCCAATCCTCTTCTGGATCATCCAAATGCACTCTAGCAAACTTCAGACGGGCCTGGACATGTACTGGCTTAAGCAGGGGGACACGTCTGGCACTGCAGGATTTGAGTCCCTGGCGGCGTAGTGTGTTACTGATGGTAGGCTTTGTTACTTTGGTCCCAGCTCTCTGCAGGTCATTCACTAGGTCCCCCCCGTGTGGTTCTGGGATTTTTGCTCACCGTTCTTGTGATCATTTTGACCCCACGGGGTGAGATCTTGCGTGGAGCCCCAGATCGAGGGAGATTGTCAGTGGTCTTGTATGTCTTCCATTTCCTAATAATTGCTCCCACAGTTGATTTATTCAAACCAAGCTGCTTACCTATTGCAGATTCAGCCTTCCCAGCCTGGTGCAGGTCTACAATTTTGTTTCTGGTGTCCTTTGACAGCTCTTTGGTCTTGGCCATAGTGGAGTTTGGAGTGTGACTGTTTGAGGTTGTGGACAGGTGTCTTTTATACTGATAACAAGTTCAAACAGGTGCCATTAATACAGGTAACGAGTGGAGGACAGAGGAGCCTCTTAAAGAAGAAGTTACAGGTCTGTGAGAGCCAGAAATCTTGCTTGTTTGTAGGTGACCAAATACTTATTTTCCACCATAATTTGCAAATAAATTCATTAAAAATCCTACAATGTGATTTTCGGATTTTTTTCTCCTCAATTTGTCTGTCATAGTTGACATGTACCTATGATGAAAATTACAGGCCTCGCTCATCTTTTTAAGTGGGAGAACTTGCACAATTGGTGGCTGACTAAATACTTTTTTTCCCCACTGTATGTCACTTAGCCGACTTGATAAAATACATATTTCTCCCAAAATACAAATATAATATGCTGTATTGGGACTTTTAGATGAAACAAATCAGAATGTTTAACAGCAACCTAATTCTGCAATCTTCCTTTAATTATTCTAAACAAATATTAGAAAATGATTTAGAGCCGAGGGGATATGCATGAGCCCTAATATATCATAGTTCTTAGATTAAGTATTTCACTTTATTTGAATATTTTCAGTTTAGTTTAATTTAATTGTTTTATTGCAACCATCAATCCCAAAATATACGTAGAGACTAGATTATATTATTTCTAAGTAAATCTATTCAGAGTAGAATTTAAACTGTGTTGCATTGAAATGTAGCACTTTGTCCTTGAGGCTATTTATTTCAACTCTATAACATCCATTTGATGAATTAACGGTTGTCAATACAAGACACATATTCAATCCTTTACTTCACACAACTAAGGTTATTCATCCAACAACCTTTTCTTCTCCAGGTCCCGGCCAGAGCAGCATTGCCTGTCAATGTAATTATTCTCCCTATGAACAACTAGCAGGCAGGAAAGCAGATGTTGGAGATTGTATGTCGCTTCATTACATTAATTTTCAATTACCATCATTTCCAATCCCCTTCACCTGCCCATCTCCCCATTACTAGTAATAACAGAATCTATGTGTATGTGTGTATGTGTGTATGTGTGTGTGGGTGTGTGTGTGTGTGTGTGTGCATCTGTGTGTCTCTGTATCTCTCCATTATGCTCCATAACAGAATCTAATTGTGCACAGGAAGAGCATTAGTGTGCTTATGTTTATGGAGCGCTCCATTGATTTTTATGATCTCCACTCTCAGTTGCTTCTCAGTCTCTCAGAGGTCACTCGTCTGTTTGATGGCGAACATGATCTCTAAGGGCGTGGTGAGTGGATGTGTGTGTACGCACGTTTACATATATATACACAAACACGGATACAGGCACAGACGCAGGCACGAACACACACACACACACACTCACACACATGAACTCATAACAGTAGAAAATAAAAAAATGGGCTAAATACAAAGTCTCAAACTCAGCTTAATCTAGCTCTATCCACCAGGGACTACTGTCCGTACTGTATGATTGGCCAGACTGAAACTGTTCCCAGTCTCTCATTGGAGGGCCTATCTGCCAATTAGCCATCCACGGACAGGGTTGGGTAGGTACTTTCTAAATGTAATCTGTTTCAGTTACTAAATACCTGCCCAAAATTGTAATCAGTAACGTAAACATTTGGATTACACAGTAACGTAATCGGATTACTTTCAGTTACTTTTGGATTACTTTACCATTAAGAGGCATTAGAAGAAGACAAAACATATCCATCAAATACAGTTGAAGTCGGAAGTTAACATACATTTAGGTTGGAATCATTCAAACTCATTTTTCAACCACTCCACAAATTTCTTGTTAACAAACTATAGTTTTGGCAAGTCGGTTAGGACATCGACTTTGTGCACGACACAAGTAATTTTTCAAACAATTGTTTACAGGCAGATTATTTCACTTATAATTCACTGTATAACAATTCCAGTGGGTCAGAAGTTCACATACACTAAGTTTACTGTGCCTTTAAACAGCTTGGAAAATTCCAGAAAATGATGTCATGGCTTTAGAAGCTTCTGATAGGCTAATTGACATCATTTGAGTCAATTGGAGGTGTACCTGTGGATGTATTTCAAGGCCTACCTTCAAACTCAGTGCATCTTTGCTTGACATCATGGGAAAATCAAAAGAAATCAGCCAAGACCTCAGAAAAAACATTGTAGACCTCCACAAGTCTGGTTCATCCTTGGGAGCAATTTCCAAATGCCTGAAGGTACCACGTTCATCTGTACAAACAATAGTACACAAGTATAAACACCATGGGACCACGCAGCAGTAATCCCTCTCAGGAAGGAGACACGTTCTGTCACCTAGAGATGAACGTACTTTGGTGCGAAAAGTGCGAATCAATCCCAGAACAACAGCAAAGGACCTTGTGAAGATGCTGGAGGAAACAGGTACAAAAGTATCTATATCCACAGTAAAACGAGTCCTATATCGACATAACCTGAAAGGTCGCTCAGCAAGGAAGAAGCCACTGCTCCAAAACCGCCATAAAAAAGCCAGACTACAGTTTGCAACTGCACATGGGGACAAAGATCGTACTTTTTGGAGAAAAGTCCTCTGGTCTGATGAAACAAAAATAGAACTGTTTGGACATAATGACCATTGTTATGTTTGGAGGAAAAGGGGGTAGCTTGCAAGCCGAAGAACACCATCCCAACCGTGAAGCACGGGGGTGGCAGCATCATGCTGTGGGGGTGCTTTTCTGCAGGAGGGACTGGTGCACTTCATAAAATAAATGGCATCATGAGGAAGGAAAATTATGTGGATATATTGAAGCCATCAGTCAGGAAGTTAAAGCTTGGTCGCAAATGGGTCTTCCAAATGGACAATGACCCCAAGCATGCATCCAAAGTTGTGGAAAAATGGCTTAAGGACAGCAAAGTCAAGGTATTGGAGTGGTCATCACAAAGCCCTGACCTCAATCTTATAGAACATTTGTGGGCAGAACTGAAAAAGCATGTGCGAGCAAGGAGGCCTACAAACCTGACTCAGTTACACCAGCTCTGTCAGGACGAATGGGCCAAAATTCACCCAAATTATTGTGAGAAGCTTGTGGAAGGCTACCTGAAACGTTTGACCCAAGTTAAACAATTTAAAGGCAATGCTACCAAATACTAATTGAGTGTATGTAAACTTCTTGTCACGTTCGTCTAATGACGGGACAGACCAAGGCGCAGCGTGATATACGTACATGTTTATTAAACCAATAAACACTCAACAAAACAATAAACGAAATGAAACGTGAAGTCCAAGGTAGCACACACAACATACCTTACAAGGAACAAGATCCCACAACCCACTAGTGCCAATAGGCTGCCTAAGTATGATCCCCAATCAGAGACAACGAGCGACAGCTGCCTCTGATTGGGAACCACACCGGCCAACATAGAACTACACATACTAGAATACAAACATAGAAAACGAACAACAAAGAATATACACACCCTGACTCAACATTTAAGCGTCCCCTGAGTCAGGGCGTGACAGTACCCCCCCCCCAAAGGTGCGGACTCCGACCGCACAACATAAACATAACAGGGTAGGGGCCAGGTGGGCATTCCGCCTCGGAGGCGGATCCGGCTCGGGGCGTGACGACCTCTCACTCTCCGCCTCCCTGTTGCGCCCCTGGTCTGGTCTGGACCTCGGTGCGCTGCTTCCCCTCTCCTTCTTCCCACGATACGCCAGGCCCTGTCTGGACCCTGGTGTGGGAGACCCCGAACCTGGAGAGGGGCTGACGTCATGGTCTGGACTGGAGCCGCTGACCGGAGCTGGACTGGGCACCGGTGGAGCGGACTACTCTGGCTCCGGAGTGGAGCCGCTGACCGGAGCTGAATCAGGCACCGGTGGAGCGGACTGCTCTGGCTCCGGAGTGGAGCCGCTGACCGGAGCTGGATCAGGCACCGGTGGAGCGGACTGCTCTGGCTCCGGAGTGGCGCAGCTGACCGGAGCTGGATCAGGCACCGGTGGAGCGGACTGCTCTGGCTCCGGAGTGGAGCAGCTGACTGGAGCTGGATCAGGCACCGGTGGAGCGGACTGCTCCGGCTCCGGAGTGGAACAGCTGACCGGCACTGGATCAGGCACCGGTGGAGCGGACTATTCTGGCTCCGGAGTGGAGCAGCTGACCGGTGCCGGACCAAGCACCGGTGGAACGGGCACGGGCCGTGCCGGACTGGAGACGCGCACCACTGGCTTGGTGCGAGGAGCAGGAACAGGCCGGGCCGGGCTGGCAACGCGCACCACCGGCTTGGTCGAGGTGCAGGAACAGGCCGGGCCTGGCTGCCGACGCGCACCACCGGCTTGGTGCGAGGAGCAGGAACAGGCCGGGCCGGGCTGGCGACGCGCACCACTGGCTTGGTCGAGGTGCAGGAACAGGCCGGGCCTGGCTGGCGACGCGCACCACTGGCTTGGTGTGAGGAGCAGGAACAGGCCGGGCCGGACTGTGGAGGCGGACTGGAGGTCTGGAGCGGAGAGCTGGCACAACCCATCCTGGCTGAATGCCTACTTCCGCACAGTATGTGTGAGGCATCAGCACAGGACGCACTGGGCTGTGCACGCGCACTGGCGATAGAGTTCGTATAACTGGCGCAGGATATGTGGGACCGAGGAGGCGTACTGGAGACCAGGAGCGTTGAGCCGGCACACCCCGTCCTGGCTGGATGCCCATCTTCGCACGGCACGTGCGTGGTGCAAGCACAGGACGTACAGGACTGTGCCGGCGCACTGGCGACACAGTACGTAGCTCCGCATAACACGGAGCTTGCCCAGTCATACGCTTCCTTGAGTACGGGGAGTTGGCTCTGCTCTAACCCTAGGCTCCGCCAACCACCCCGTGTGCCCCCCCAAAAATTTTTCTTGGGGCTGCTTCTCGGGCTTCCTCCTCGACCGGCCTCCTCCGTGTTGCCGTTGCTCCTCTCCTGCCTGGGCATCTACCTTAGCCCATGGTCCTCTCCTCGCAAATATCTCTTCCCATGACCACAAATTGCCCACCTGTGACATGGCTACTCGCTCCGCCTGGGCACGCTGCTTGGTCCTCGTTTGGTGGGATCTTCTGTCCCGTTCGTCTAATGACGGGACAGACCAAGGCGCAGCGTGATATACGTACATGTTTATTAAACCAATAAACTCTCGACAAAACAAGAAACGAAACGTGAAGTCCAAGGTAGCACACACAACATACCTTACAAGGAACAAGATCCCACAAACCACTAGTGCCAATAGGCTGCCTAAGTATGATCCCCAATCAGAGACAACGAGCGACAGCTGCCTCTGATTGGGACCCACACCGGCCAACATAGAACCATACTAGAATACAAACATAGAAAACGCACAACAAAGAATATACACACCCTGACTCAACATTTAAGCGTCCCCTGAGTCAGGGCGTGACACTTCTGACCCACTGGGAATGTGATGAAAGAAATAAAAGCTGAAATAAATAATTCTCTCTACTATTATTCTGACATTTCACATTCTTAGAATAAAGTGGTGATCCTGACTGACCTAAGACAGGGAAGTTTTACTAGGATTAAATGTCAGGAATTTTGAAAAACTGAGTTTAAATGTATTTGGCTAAGGTGTATGTAAACTTCCGACTTCAACTGTACATTGGTGTATCATCATACTGGTCTCTGACTTGTGGTCAGACTCGTTCAGGTGGAACAAACTTAAATGTATGCCTTTTTCAATGCTGAATTGAATGTCATTGAGAAAACAGAAAGGTGTCATAATGTATTTTTCCGCAAACCTCCTTTCTGAATTGTAAAGTAATCTAAGAAGTAATCATCTTGTAATCAAAAGTATTTAAGAAGTAATCAAAAGTATCTGTAATTTCAATAAATATTTTAGCTGATAAAGTAATTGATTACAGTTATAGTTTTTTGGGTAATCAGATTACATGTTTGTTGGTGGTTGGCTCTTTTTCCCCCCTGACTGGCTTTTGTTTCTGTCAATGCAGTGATAGTAGAATGCCAGTTTGTGTCATTGCAGTAGAATGCTAGTAGAATACCTGCAAGCCTCATTGTGTTTTTTCCAACAGAACCCCATCCTGACCTTCACCAGGTCTTTGTCCCTGCGTCCACCTGGACCATCCATAACAGCTTATCTTCTACATTTCCATCGCAGGCAAAGTTGGTAATTACTTTCCCTGGCTGTCGTCATTTCACAGACAATGAAAAAACAAAGGAGTTTATCGTGGACTACAGGAAACGGAGGTCCGAACACGCCCCATTCACATCGACGTTGTTCTAGTGGAGCGGGTTGAGAGCTTCAAGTTCTTCGGTGTCTACATCACTAAGGACCTATCATGGTCCAAACACACCAACACAGTCGTAAAGAGGGCACGACAATGTCTCTTCTACCTCAGGAGGCTGAAAAGATTTGGCATGGGCCCTCATTTCCTCAAAAGTTCTACAGCTACACCATTGAGAGAATCTTGACTGGCTGCATCACTGCCTGGTATGGCAACTGCTCGGCATCCGACCGCAAGGCGCTGTAGAGGATAGTGCGTATGGCCCAGTACATCACTGGGGCCGAGCTCCCTGCCATCCAGGACATGTATACCAGGCGGTGTCAGAGGAAAGCCCTAAAAATGGTCAAATACTCCAGCCACCCAAGTCATAGACTGTTCTCTCTGCTACGACACGGCAAGCGGTACCAGAGCACCAAGTCTGGGACCAAAATGCTGCTGAACAGCTTCTACCCCCAAGCCATAATACTGCTGAACAGTTAATCAAACGGCTACCTGAACTATTTACATTGACCCCCTTTATTATTTGTATTGTTTTGCACTGACTCTCTTGCACTGGCTCTATGCACACTCACTAGACTCTACCCACACACTCACACATACTACACTGACACTCCAACACACACACACACACACACTACATATGCTTACACACACACAAAACACACACACATGCATATTGACGCCACACACACACACACACACACACACACTTTCACACATGCTGCTGCTACTCTGTTTATTATCTATCCTGATTGCCTAGTCACTTTTACCCCTACCTACATGTGCATACTGCATTTCCTCAATTACCTCAACTACCTCGTACCCCTGCACATTGACTCGGTACCGGTACTCCTTGTATATAGCCTCAATATTTTATTGTGTTACTATTTTCCTTTGTTTTTTTCCTTTTTAACTCTGCATTGTTGGGAATGGGCTCGTAAGTAAGCATTTCACAGTAAAGCCTACACCTGTTGTTTTTGGCGAATGTGACCAATACAATTTGATTTGATTTGATCATTACATTTACATTTTAGTCATTTAGCAGACGCTCTTATCCAGAGCGACTTACAGTTAGTGAGTGCATACATTTTTCATACTGGCCCCCCGTGGGAAACGAACCCACAACCCTGGCGTTGCAAGCACCATGCACCAGTAACCGGTTCGGATGGAGGTTTGAATGGAGGGAAGTTTGCCGATTCGTGCCATGGAAAAAGCACCAGATGTAATTTGATTGAATTCCTCTGGAGACGAATTCCAGCCTGAACACTCTCAACACTCGACCACCTACATCTAAATGTATTGTGGGGGAAAGGGGAATAGATCTATATTGAAGGTGGCAAGTGTTAAAGTGCATGTGTGCCGAGTTCGGAGGCACAGTTAAGATTCCGGGAATGAGGCACACAGAGACAGAATCCTGAGACGGAAGAAACAAATATTTGAAAGAAAGATTACCGTTGAAGCTGCAGAGAGAGAGATGTTGGAAAGGCAAAGTAAACAATCCGGGTCTCGGGGGGTGGGAGCGGGGGCGGGGGGGTGGAGCATAAAACGAGAGCATAAAACAACAAAAAACAGATAGAGGCAATAGGGAGGGAGAGAGGGAGGGAGGGAGAGAGGGAAAAGGAGAGAGGAAGATATAGAGTGTGGAAGAGAGAGAGAGAAAGAGAAAATTGAGAGAGAATGGAGAGAGAATGGAGAGAATGAAATGATAATAAAGGAGTGGGAACAGGATCAGCAGAGTCAGGAGACAATGCAAATAGCAGAGAGGCAATAGAATAAGAGCATAAACACGGAAGGAAGAGAGGGAAGATGAATAAGAGAGGGATGAGGGTGTATTGTGTTTGGATATAGAAATAGAGCGCTGTATAATTAAATAATGCAGGGAGGGAAGGAGGGAGAGAGGCAGGGAGGAGAGGGAGGGGGGTGGTGAAGTGGGAGAGAGAGATTGAGGGAGAGAGGGAGCGGCGAGCTCTTGTCTTCCCATCTCTGTGTAGACACAATGGCCGCCTAGGCCTTTAGATATCACTAATTACAGTATCCATGGTACCACTCCAGAGACGCTGCTGCAGACACCCTTCATTATAGCAGCTAGGGCTCAGGACCAGGCTGGGCTGGCTGCTTAAACAGGGTCAGACTGCGTTCAACCACTGATGGCAGGCTGCAGGAAATATAGTATCAGGCAACATGTTATAAGTGCTTCATGTTGATCTGTTGAAGTGGGATATATCCCACTGTGTGGAAAGATTCATAGGAAACAATAGTGTATTTTACTTCTAAATCTATATTTTCGTTGACTTGTTTTGCCATGTAATCCATTACAGTTTCTAGTTATCTGTCCAAAATTGTAATCAGTAACATAACTTTTAGATTATCCAAACTCAGCAATGTAATCTGATTACACTACCCATCAAAGGTTTTAGAACACCTACTCATTCAAGGGTTTTTCTTTGTTTTTACTATTTTCTACAATGTATAATAATAGTGAAGACATCAAAACTATGAAATAACACATATGTAATCATGTAGTAACCCAAAAAGTGTTAAACAAATCAAAATATATTTTATATTTGAGATTCTTCAAATAGCCACCCTTTGCCTTGATGACAGCTTTTCACACTCTTGGCATTCTCTCAACCAGCTTCATGAGGTAGTCACCTGGAATGCATTTCAATTAACAGGTGTGCCTTCTTAAAAGTTAATTTGTGGAATTTCTTTCCTTCTTTATGCATTTGAGCCAATCAGTTGTGTTGTGACAAGGTAGCCCCCTACCTTGTAGGTATACACAAGATAGCCCTATTTGGTAAAAGACCAAGTCCATATTATGGCAAGAACAGCTCAAATAAGCAAAGAGAAATGACAGTCCATCATTACTTGAAGACATGAAGGTCAGTCAATACGGAACATTTCAATAACTTTTTAAGTTTCTTCATGTGCAGTCGCAAAAACCATCAAGCGCTTTGATGAAACTGGCTCTCATGAGGACCGCCGAGTTAATCCACTCTCTCCTTAGCTCAGCCAGACAATTTATAAACTTGATCTCCACTGTAATAAGCATCTAGACATTAGCTCCCGTTTCTTTTAGACTTAGCAATTGGTTTTCAATAGCGGAGATTTGTATAAACCTTGCTGTCTGTCTTCCAACATTTGCAACATTGTTTCAATATTGAAATTCGATCTCCAGCTGTCGTATAGTAATGAATGTGTAGGGGTCGGGAGTTGGGAGTCGGGACGAGACAGACAGGCAAGCAGCTTTTCTCAGCCAATCGAAATCATGAATCAGCATAATTTTTATGGATATATACAAAGAAATGTCAATAGAAAACTGTTAAAACAAAACAAAATGCAGCTAGTTTGCAGTCTTTTCAGCTTGAAGTGATTGTGTTAGCTGTGTTGTTGGCTAGCTCCTCTGAACAACAGCGTCCTGAAGAGAGAGCACATTTTCTATGGCATGTGAAATCGCGCATCATTAGCTCATTGTTATGGATATATCCACATAAATGTCACTAGAAAAGCTTAAATAAATGCAAATGCAGCTACTTTGCTGTTATACTGACTGCACTGTTTGACATGACTGTAAGTTAGCCGTAGTTGGCTATCTAGCAAGCAAGGGATAAGAACGTTGCCAGCCAGTATGGCAATAGAACATTTAGAACATGACTGGGTCGCGTCTCTGGCAACCGAACCAGCTGGCTTGGGTAGCAACCTTAGATTTGTATCAGGAATATATCTTGTGGAAGGATGAAATAGCATGAATAAATTCATCAAAATAATGTTTTTAATTAAAATATGTCAATCATTATTTGAATATGTTAGTACCAATAAGAGAATAAGACAGTTAAGTGATAATGCCCTCGAAGCCGGTGTTTGGAGGATATATTGTTGTTAGGTCCTCCCAACACCGGCTTCTCGGGCATTATCACTTAACTGTCTTATTCTCTTATTGTCATCATGCTGAACCTCACCATTGGATTCAACAGTGAATAACACTGCTGTGACATCTGGTTGTTAAGCGTTATTGTACGCTAATTAGTGGAGCAGAATCCAGAGAGCTCATAATTATTTGCTCCTATTGTGACTGTCACCTCCTCTAGATACATACAACAGCATTTCTGGTTAGCGGTTGGTAAGTCTATTATAACACGCATGACTACTGTGTCTCCTCAACAGAGCCCATCATATGGAGTAGGGTGAAGTTGCACCTAGACACTGATATTGGGTCAGTTTGCTTTTTGGCCATGATAAACACGGGTGAAATTAGCGGAAGAGAAGAGTTTGGCGGAGAGCTGATTGCAGATCTTCACCCCCAGAACTTCACCCCCAGAACCCATTGTACAATACAGTGCATGATCAGGCTTGGGACAAATCTTCCTAGATCCTGTTAGCACTCTAGTGTACTTTACCCACATAGGGAAGACTACTGTAACAGAGAGTAATTCAATGCTAACCTATTAAACTCTGACCCCCTCTGGTGGCATTAAAATCGAAAGCAGTAAAATCGATAAGTCACATTAAAGCTGATATCAGTTAGTTGGCTTTGGCTTGCCTTTCCCCATGGACCAGGGTCTGTCACAGAGGAGGAGTAGAGGAATCCCTACAAATCCACCCGGGGATGTGTGTGTGTGTGTCCATGGGGGACACGTCTGCCTCCGACTACTTTGATCTGAGCTAATTTACAACTCCTCCCTGCTAGATGTGAAGCTTTACATGTGGCTCCTAATCCTGCGGAATTAGAGATCAGAGGTGGGTTCAATACGACCGAGCTGTGTTCGATACAACCGAGGTGTGTTTGATACGACCGCACGTGTCTCTGACCACCGAACTACCATCCAACAAAGACCACAAGGCA